ACGTGGAGAGAAGCATGCAGGTGATGGTGCTCCGGTGCATTTGTTGCTCTTGTCCTTCTAGGTGATAAAGGTCATGGATTTGGAAAATGCTGTCAAAGGAACCATAGTGAGTTGTTGCATTGCATCTTGCTGATAAGACGCAACTGTTGCCACTTTGTGTCATTTCTGTAAAATGTTTCGGGTGGTGGATAGGATGCCAAATAAGTGTCCTAGATTATATAGAACATCTTAAATGTTGTTAGAGCTATACTCATCCAGGCAAGTGGAGAGCACTCCATCACACTTGTGACTTGGGCCTTCTAGATGATGGATAGGCTTGGGGAACCTAGGAAATTAGTTGCTAATGCAGGATTGCTAGTCTTTGTCCTACTGTTGTTACCAGAGTATAGCCATCCACATCAATTTTTGGTCAGTGGACAACACCATGTTATTGTGGCTGATGGAATTCAACAATTATAATGGTGTTAGATGTCAAGGGGTGATAATTGGATTGTTATTGTGGATGGTCACTGTGTGACATTGCATGTCATACGAATGTTACTTATTACTTGCCACTTATCAACCCAAATCTAGATGTTGTCCAGATCTTGCATGTGATCCTGGACCGTTTATCGACTGAGCAGTCCTATCATGCTTATGATGTGGAGGTGCCAGTATTCTCTCACGCGCACGCTCTCTCTCTCGCTCGTGCGCGCGCGCGCACACACACACATCTGTGGGGTGAATTCTCATTTGCAGGTTTGTAATTGCAGGTGCATTCTATTTTGTTCAAAAAGCACACAGTTTGTAGATAGTCAGTCAATATGGCATTTTATAAATTCCTACTTTGGAAATAAAGCCAGTCTTACTCCGAGTTAAATCATAGATTCTAAATAAGGCCTCACACCTAAAATACATTGTCTAACCTGAGATGTCACCTCTGGTATACTGATAAAACCTTTATTTATCTCAGGGCAGTGACTTGAAAGAAATTCTGGGATTTGCATATTAATCAATCAAAACCTGCATCTCCTTTCTAACTGATTAAAGATTTAACAGCCATCTTAGGTTTGTTCAGTATATTCGCATCAGTTCTATGACCCTTTGATCTTTTACTTATAAATTCTATGTCTAATGCCACCTCTCTCACTAACACCTGAAGAAGGAGCGAGGCTCCGAAAGCTTGTGTTTTCAAACAAACTTATTAGACTGTAACCTGGTGTTGTGTGAGTTGTGCTGAACATTGTGCAATTGTCAGTAAACATTTCCCCTTCCGACTTTATTGTGGAAGAAAGGTGGAAATAGTTAAAGATGGTTGGACCGAAGACACCACCCAGAAGAGCTCCTGCTGGTGTCCTGGGGTTGTGAGGATTGACCTTTACCTCCTGCAACCATCTTCCTTTGTGCTAAGTTCAACACAGTTTTCCTCCAATTCCCATTGACCCCAATTTTGCTCAGGCTCCTTGATCCCATCTTTGTTCAAAGTGGCTTTGATGTAAAGGGCTGTCTTACCTCGCTTCTGAAGTCCAGCTCTTTTGTCCATGTTTGACCTAAGGCTGTATTGACGTTAGAAGTTGAGTGGCTCTGGCAGAACCCAAACTGAGCCACAGTGAGCAGGTTATTGTTGAGCAAGCCTGCATTATGGAATTGTTGATAATCCCTTCCATCACTGTTTATGATCAAGCATACACTAACTGAGTAGTGAATGGATTTGTCCTGTTTTTTGTGCACAGGACATACTTTGGCATCTACCCGACAACATAGAAAATTGCCTATGTTGTAGCTGTATTGGAACAGCTTCATGTGGGGTCACACTTAACTCTGCAACATAAATCTTCATGTCTTTTGCAGTATCTCTTCACAAGCCTTCACTTGTTTCTTGATACCAAATGAGTGAATTGAATGGACTGATGACTGGCATCGCTGATGCTTGGGACCTCAAGATGTATCATTTACTTGACCTTCTAAACTAAAGATAGTTGCAGTTTTTTTTTCAACCTTTCCCAAACACTGATGTGCAGGGCTCCTCCATCATTTGAGATTGGGGATATTTGTGGAGCTTTGTCCTTCAAATTGTTTAATTGAACGCCACCATTCATTACTGAATGTGGCAGGACTGCAGAGCTTAGATGTGATCTGTTGGCTGTAAGATCACTTAACTCTGTCTGTTCAGTGCTGCTTCCACTGTTTTGACATGCAAAGTAGTCTTTTGTTGTAGTTATACCAGGTTGACATCTCATTTTAGGTCTGCCTGGTGCAGCTCCTGGCATGCCCTCTTGCACTCTTCATTGAACTGGGGTTCATCCCTTAGCTTTGCTGTAATGGAAGTGCAGGGTATATGCCAAGCCATGAACTTGAATTGAAATGGTGATTGATTGGAATCCTGAATGGGATGCTGATAGCCCACTGAGCCTCATGGATGGCCAGTTACAATGTGCTACATCCATTCAAAACCTGTCCCATTTAGAAATATTTGGTAGCGCCACACAACACAATGAAGGCTATCCTCAGTGTGAAAGCAGAGTTTCTCCACAAGAACTGTGTGATGGTTACTCCCAACTTATATGGTCAAGGACAGATGCGTTTGGGGCAGGTAGATTAATGAGATGAGCTCAGGTAAGTTTTTTTCTATCTTGTTGGTTTGTTGACTGTCTGCCCCAGATCCAGTATAACAGCTATTTTCTTTAGGATTCTGCTGGGTTAAATAGTATTGATGTTGGACTTTTAAAGTCTTGTCCAAGAGGACATTTTGTGCCATTGCCACACTCAGTATATCTTCCGCATAGAGATCTCCCAGGTCTGAAATAAATGTTGACAACTTCCAACCAACTGTATGCCATTGTGGTGACACATTTGATGGGCTTGTACTACTGTGGATGGTGATGGTGGTAACTGGGACATTGTCAGGTATGCTTATATGTATAAAGACCATGTCAGTCTGTTATAGAGTCATACAGCATGGAAACATGGAAATATTGTTGTTGATTAGTTTACGGGACCTTTCCCAATTTTGGCACAAGCTCCCAGCTATTTTTGTGAGGAGGTCTTTCCAAGATTGTCGTAATAATAAACAACATTAGTGAACTAAATGGTTTTTACAAAAATCTGATTTTGATTACTTTTAATCAACCTCTTCAGACATGTTGTGACACCTCTGTGGCAAGTGTCTCTTGAAAACAGATCTTTTTGGCAAGAAGGGACACTACCTCCAGACCCGTGAAGATCCCTTGTGTTTGATACTCTGAGCAGCATTACAGTTATACTCGTAAAAGTTGTCCCATTTCTCACTGGTTTCTAGTCACTCCTGCTGGAAATGTACTTTTAGTTGTTGAGTGATGTAGCTTTGGGCTCAGCTGTGAAATCTCTGTGTGGACCAAGTCTGCTGAAAACTTATGATTAGCTTGGATGAAAACTGAAGAGTGTTGAATCATTTGTCAAAGATAATTAATTTGCTCAGGAGAGCAGAAAATAGGACATTGTGTAGAATCGGTGGAAATGGAGTTAAGTAGAGACTGAATTAAAGTTACGAACCCTTTGTATTTTCCTAGTATGACTGGCATTATAAATAGTAAGAAATCATTGTTGTAATTTCGTTTGACTTCAGTTACCCCTTTGATAGGCTGTGAAACATGAAACAGTTTCCTTGTTGCTGCCTTCATTATTTCAGCTGCTGCATTAATATTGAATATTGAATAGTTTTATGACTCAGCTTATGAATCACGAAAGTGGAAATGTCAATAGACTGTGGTTATGCACTATTTAAAACTTATGGATCTTGGAGCTGTTGTTTAGATATTGTTGAGATGTGGAGGAACATTGACACAATTTGTACTATTATAATTGGAGCTATAATTCCAGACAAATGTGGTAATGCATAATGGAACCTGAAAAGAAAAAGACTTCAGATCTCGCATAAGCTCTCTACAGGAGACATTACCCATATTTTCTTTCTGTAAATGTTGAGCAAGTGCACATGTAGCACTTGTTTTTATTTCAGATTTCCAGCATTGAGTGCAGAATTGTAAAAAGTGGCCAAATTAATACAACAAATTAAAGCAAATACAATGCATTTAATCATGCATATGATTACTTGGGTTTTGTTGTAGAGACAGTGCAGGTTGCAGTCATGATTTTGAATTACTTTTCTTTGCTAAATGGCTGGACTTTCCTTTCAGCTGCTTTCGGCCCATGTGCAGGGATACTTTGCATCAGGATAATGTAAAAAAAAATTATCTGAGATACTAACTCGAGTAGGATGAGGATGAGTTTTGATTTAAAGTCGCAGTATTATGCCAGATTTATTTTCTGTATTTATCCCGACAGCAAAATAAAATCAAAATAGTACCAATGTGCTTTAATGATGAGCAGTTTTCTCAATTGACTATGCAGCATGCTACCAGCCCCAGTGACATACCTATAATTAGTAGTATTTTATCATTGCATTTATACATCTTAAAATTATTTCTCTATATACAGTAAATGTTTTGTCATAAGTTTAATTGGATGTAGTATTAAAATTTAGCACTATTACCACTAGACTTTGCTGACACCTGTGAATTGTACATTTAGAGCCTCTATACTGTAGTCACTTGGAAGCTTTGAAGACAGAAGACAAGTTGTGCAATTCCAATATTGTAGGAAACTCAGCTGTGTGTTGGACTGCATACTAAATGATCAGCCCAGTTCAATAAAGTTCAGAAGGACCCTCTCCACCCTTGAAACATAACCTATTTTAATTGAAAAAAATTGTATTTCTTTTTCTAGGTTCAGCTCCAAAGTTCTTTTTGTGCTGATATACCTGTGTACCTTTGCAGCTTGTGATGACGCTGTTCAGCCAACAGGACCATCCGTTTACTTCTCAGCTGGGAATCCTCTGGAACATCTGAAATAAATAGATCAATTATAGACATCGTATTGGTGGCAACATTGACTGGATCTTTCCTTGAGTTACACATAGGAGGAAATTTCCAAATAGATGGAAAATTGTGGCTTAACTTCTTCCTCCCCCCTTGCATTGGCAGAGATGCACAAGACGCAGTCTATGGAAGAAATGGTTATGATTATGGAGTCTATCGTTTACGGGTGGAATTCCAGAGAGGCAGAGGAGTTGGCGGAGTCGGCGGTGGATCTAGAGGAAGACCAGGACCAGCTGCCCGCAGATCAGATTTCAGGGTCATTGTCTCTGGTGCGTTTTTGTTTCCGTTTCATGTTTGACAGCCAATGTTTTTGCTATAAACCTGAATACAGTTGGAAGGTCGTTCAGTGTAGAATGTCCATGTAAAGCTAGGGTGTCCATATGATGGCCCACAACTTCTGGCGATTGAACCCACAAAGTCCAATCAACTTGGTTTCAGTTTAGTATTGCATATTCCATACTATTTAAATTTTATGATCTTGGAGATTTAGAAAAGGTGCATTTGGCAATAAACGCTAAATGAAAATGTCAACATCAATTAACCGGAATATTCATTTAACCTTTATATTGGACAACGAGGAATCCGTGTATGCGCCATGACCTAAGTTTGGACCTAAAGCTTTGGACACTCCTGGTATCAAGCAACTTCATATGTTTAAGGATGAAGATCATTAACGAATGCAGCTTCATACATGGGTTTATGTACTGATACTTATTCTGCTACAGAACTAAAGTGCACAGTATAACAAGTGCATTATGTCACTTTCCCTGGACATCTTCAGAACAGAATTTTAAAAATTGTGCAGGCCATTTACATATTTTTATTTTAAATCTTGCATCTTAAATGTGATCAAAAATATATGGTTTAAAAATTAATAACAAGCTTGTACTAAAGAAGGTTTTTTTATTGTTTCCCTTTTCGATTTTTTTCCCTGCCAATTTTTACCTTTCTACTACTTCTCTACCCCCCACCTCAAGGCATTGGCTACTTATAATGCTGTGGTTCCACAGGTTTCCTGCAGAGGCTGCAGTTCAATTTTAGGCATAGACAGCAAACAGTTTTACTCTGGATACTAACGAACATAGGCAAGTCTGATTCACTCCTTATCCAATGTCCATACAAGACTGCTTTACTGTGGGCATCACTGGATGTCATTCAGGATTGGGAACTCAGGCTAGATGGGAGAAAACTCACGTCAAAGGGACAGTGGAATAATTTGTAACAGCATTTCAGTGTTTCTTTTTTAAATATCATCACTCTTCAGGAATTGCCACTGATTGCTTAGAGTAAAAACAGAAAACACTAGAAAAGTACATTAGATCAGTCAACATCCTAAAGAGATAAAGACAAGTTAATGTCTGAGCTGAGACTGTTCTACAGATTCTTTTTCTACTTTGTATGCTGACTGATCTGTGATTTGCTGTTTTACTCCCAATTTCTAACATTTCTTCTAACTTTGTGAATTGACTCCCCTGGACCAATGCTTCAGACCTTTTGGAGAGAACATGCATCTGAGGTCCATGTGTTCCTGTCACCCTGATGGAAGAGAATGCTGGGACGGGACAGTTTCTTTATGGATTCCATCTTCAAAGATTCTGCTTAATTTTGCCTGTCACAGATCACTAATTGTCCCGATGTGATGGTATTCAGCAGCCTGCATCCTGCCCTCTCTGATTTAAACCCAGTGGGTATTTGGATGTCTCTCACTTGTAGAATTAGCTGTTTATTTTGCTTCCTGTTGTTACATGCTTGTATATTTTGATTTTACTACATCTAACATGTCAGTCCTGTTAAAGAAATTAGAACCAAGAGATTAAAAACCAAATTGTGGAATTGAAACACATAATCTGTATGGCATACTCTGAGGGTTTTTCCTCAGATCTGTTCATGAATTATATTTTCACTAACCAAAGATTCTAAATACAAAATCCAGCAGCCCACATAGCAGGTCACTCCTGGGATGTGTCATGGAACAAGCTGTGCTAAGTAACTTGCTGTACGTATTTCAGATATATTTTCTGTGGGTGAAGATGAAGATTCCTATAAAGCACCTTCTCAAAGTAGCACTTAACATGGCGAATCCGTTGTTTAAGGAGCAGTCAGATCTAATGCTACAGGAGAAAGTATTTGTCAACAGCAAAACAGGAGCACACAAAAGCTGGAGTCACCTAAGAGACAGTTTGACACACTCAGAATTACTAATGTGTGAGTTTGTTGGGGAGAAATTGGTCTTTGAAGTAAAATATTATTTCCTCACTTTTGAAATCTTCTGAATCAAACTTTTTTAATGGTTTGAATGCACAGCACATCTGATCTCATTCCTTGGGATAACACTTCCAAACTCTCTCTCCTTGTCAGGACTTCCTCCCTCTGGCAGTTGGCAGGATTTGAAGGATCACATGCGAGAGGCCGGTGATGTTTGCTATGCAGATGTTCTAGGAGAAGGTGCTGGAGTGGTGGAATTTCTCCGCAAGGAGGACATGGATTACGCAGTGCGGAAGCTTGATGATACAAAGTTTCGCTCTCACGAGGTTAGTTTGTTCTAGCTGGACATACTTGTTAGGAAATTCCAAATAAGTATTAATACATTAATGATGCTGCCAGTCTGAATGGCCAGTGTTTAATATTAAACCTATTGATCAGAAGGGTTTATATTTTCTTTTGGTCTCTGAATTAGCTGATGTCACCTAAATTAGCAATGGAGTGACAACATTAGGCTCCCTTCCCCTTGAATAAGCAATGGAGGAATAACTCAATCAGGGCTGTTTATGTTGAATCAGAGATAGTAGGAACTGCAGATGCTGGAGAATCCAAGACAACAAGGTGCAGGATGAACACAGCAGGCCAAGCAGCATCATAGGAGCAGAAAGGCTGATGTTTCGGGCCTAGACCCTTCATCAGAAAAGGGGGAGGGGAAGGGGGTTCTGAAATAAATAGGGAGAGAGTGGGAGGCGGATAGAAGACAAGCTTCAAAATCTCCCCTCCCCCTACTGCATCCCAAAACCAGTCCAGCTCGTCCCCGCCTCCCTAACCTGTTCTTCCTCCCACCTATCCCCTCCTCCCACCTCAAGCCGCACCCCCATCTCCTACCGACTAACCTCATCCCGCCCCCTTGACCTGTCCGTCCTCCCTCGACTGACCTATCCCCTCCCTAACTCCCCACCTAAACTCACCTTTACTGGCTCCATCCCCGCCTCTTCGACCTGTTTGTTTCCTCTCCACCTATCCTCTCCTCTATCCATCTTCTATCTGCCTCCCACTCTCTCCCTATTTATTTCAGAACCCTCTTCCCCTCCCCCTTTTCTGATGAAGGGTCTAGGCCCGAAACGTCAGCCTTTCTGCTCCTATGATGCTGCTTGGCCTGCTGTGTTCATCCAGCCCTGCACCTTGTTGTCTCAGGGCTGTTTATGTGGTTGCTAATTCAGTTACCAAACCATGGATGTTAAAAAAGTGCAGGATAGTTTGACTAATTTCTCCCAATAACAGATCTTTGTCGATACAAACTGTCTTGGCCGATTTGTTCATGGTTAGTGCTCAACCTTGGTGAGGCACTAATGCCCAACCCAATCTATTACAGATCTTCAGCGCTGCTTGATTATCCACCAGAAACTAAATTTCGGTTAATGTTTTAAAACATATTGTACATTTGAGACTGGACATAAAGCTTAGCTGTACATATATCTTAGCCAAAAAAGTGTTATCCCTCTCGTGCAAATGAGTAATGTCGTACATGAATCTGAGTGCCGATGAGATCCCAGGCAAGTAAACCAAATTTCCCAAAGACTGACGAATCATATCAAATAAAATGTCCCTTCAACTCTTTGCAACAAACGGGGTGCTGACTGATACCCAACCAGTCCATGTTCGCAAAACATGAACCACAGTGTCTTAACATTAGATGTGATTGTGCAATTGGACAACATTTGCTGGATAGTCCTGAATCTGAAAAGAATTAAACTAATATCTAATTTATGACTGTCAGTTGGGCTTGCAGTATGACACACTTGCGTATGCAGGGTTCTGTTCTTTGCAGATACAAAATACACGTACACAAGTTGTCTATTTCAAATCTCAGCTATTTGCTGGTTCATTTCTCAGTAATACCTTGGTAAGTCAGACTGAGCCTGCAGCAAGTGGTGAGGAACCAACTCGAGGGAAAAACATACTCGACCTCATCATCAACAGTCTGCCAGCTGCAGGTGCATCTGTGTATGACAGTATCGGTAAGAGTGACTACCTTGTGGCGATGTAGTCCCGCCTTCACATTGATAATATCTTGCATCATGTTGTGTGTGGCACTATCACAGACTCCAAACAGATCTAGCAACTGAAGACTGGGCATTTATAGCCGATCAGCAGCAGCAGAATCATACTCCAGCGCAATCTGCAACATTATGGTCCATCATACCCACCGCTCTACCATTACAGTCAAGCCGGGGATCAACCTTGGTTCAATGAAGAGTGCAGGAGGACATACTAGGAGTAACACCAGGCATGTCTGAAAATGAGGTGTCAACCTAGTGAAACTATAAAATAGGACTGCATGCATGTCAAACAGCATTAGCAGCAAGTGATGGAGCTAAGCAATTCCACAACCAACAGATCCTCGTGAATGGTGGTGGACATTTAAACAATTCAGTGGAGGAAGAGGTTGTACAAATATCTCCATCCTTAATGGAACAGGCCAGCACATAAGTGCAAAAGAAAAAGGATGAAACATTCACAACAATCTCCAGCCAGAAGTTCTACTCCAGTATCACAGGTACCAAACTTAAGGGAATTCGATTCACTCCATGTGATATAAAGAAACCTTTGGATGCACTGGACACTGTGAAGGTTATGGGCTTTGACAACATTCCAGCAATAGTACTGAAGACTTGTGCTCTAGAATTTGTCACACCTCCTAGCCAAGCTGTTCCAGTACAGCTACAACCCTGACAGCTACCCAGTAATGTAAAAGAAATTGCCTGGGTTATGTCCTATACACAAAAAGCAGAACAAATCCACCTAGCCAATTACAGCCCTATCAGTCTATTCTTAATATCAGTAAAATGATGGAAGGTGTCATCAACAGTGCTATCAAGCAGCACCTGCTTAGCAATGACATGCTCACTGACGCCCAGTTTGGGTTCCTCCTTGGCAACTTCTTCGCTGGCCTGGGTTCAAACATGGACATCAGACCTAAATTTCATTGGTAAGGTGAGTGCATTCGACGGAGTGTGATACTGCGGAACCCTTGCTGCTTGGAGTCATATCTGACAAGTAGGAAAATGATTGTGGTAATTGGAAATCTATAATCTCAACTCCAGGACAACCACCTAGTGATATTCGTTTATGAATTCACAATGTTCAGCATTATTCCTCATACTGAAGCAGTCCATGTTCCAAAGCAGCAATACCTGGACAATATCCAAGCTTGGGTTGAAAAGTGTCAAATAACATTTGGAATGTTCAAATGCCAGGCATAACCATCTCCAATAAGAGACAATCTAACCACTGCCTCATGACATTCAGGGGTGTTTCCACCACTGAACATCTAACTGTCAACATACTGGGAGTTAACATTGACCAGAAACTGAACTGGACTACCATATAAATACAGTGGCTACAAGAGCAAGTCAGAGCCTGGAAATGCTGCAGCGAGTATCTCATCTTTTGACTCCCCAAAGCCCACCATCTACAAAGCACAGGTCAGGAGTGTGATGGAATACTCCACATTTGCCTGGATGAGTGCAACACAGCACTTAGGAAGCTCGACACCTTCCAGGACAAAGCAAGCCTGCTTTATTGGCAACACGTCCACAAATATTTCACTCCTTCCCCGTCGAAGCTCCGTACCATTAGTGTGTACCATTTACAAGATGCACTGTAAAAACTTATCAAGGCTTCATAGATACTGCCTTCCACTACCATCTCAAAGGATAGGGGCAGATACATGAGAACACGACCACCCACAAGTTGCGCTTACATCCACACACCATTCTGACTTGGAATTATATCAGTTGTTATTAACAGCACTATACTAAATTAACTGTACTGTACTGAAAGGTAGCTCACCACCACCACCTCATGCATTTAGAAATCAGTAGCAAATATTGGTCTTACAAGTGATACTCACAACCTTGAATTTTTTTTTAGACAGGACCGTGGAAGAAAGTGAGTGGGTTTGATTGGTGGTTAGCAAGATTAGAAGGGTGCAAATTTTGTATATGAGGAGATCTATTGACAGTATTAATGAGCTTGTAGGGCAGAAATGTCGAACGGAAATGGCATCCTATGAAGGGAGCAGGAGATTATGTTTCTTAGATAACAAGGTTTTGGTGGGTTGGGTGATGAGTTTAATAGTTCAGACATACCAGTACCATGAAGGACGTTGGAGTCTTTGGGTAAACAGGCAACTGATTTTGAAGACCTAAAGATATTTTATGAAAATTTCACCTGGAGTTTGCAGTAAGGCTGGAAAGAAAAAATTAAGAAGATAGTTATTGATGGATTTTCTAGTCTCCTGAATGATGTTTGAGGAATTGGAACTCTTTGATGAAGGAAAGAGAGCACATTGAAGCCTGGTCTGACAGACAGAAACTAGGCACCAGTTATTTTCAAATTCATGTTCCTCTGGACTTGAGGGTAAAAGCAGGCCTTCCAAGAAGAGGAGCAGGAGTGATATTTGCATAGTTTTAAAGTTGAAGAAGGTTAAGGAAATTGACAAGTTTGGAGATGTCATTGTGTTGGAGGGCCAAAGTTGGAGGATTCTGAGAATGAGGGTTTTGCAGAATCTTTAGATTAGTGGGTGGCTATTATTGATTCACAGAAGGTAAGAGAATAAAGGGGTAAGGCAACAGTCAGCGGTTGAAACTGTGGATGTGTAGAAGCCATGGTTTGTTAATGGAAATGGAGCAGAAATAAAGGTGGCATAGCCACAGAGGAGGATAAGGGAGATTAGAAGATGCTGAGAAGCCCAAAAAAGATTCTGGGCTCAGATCTGTCACAACAGCTAAAGTGCAGATGAATTGAAGCAACATGAAGTCGGAGACAAATCAGCCAGATTCCCCTGAATTCTTACGTTCAGAGTTTGGATTTCCCCATTACCCTTACCAACAGTTCCTGTAATCAAATATATTTTTAATGATTGCAGTTACGATCCACAGTAAGGTAAATCAATCACATGAGAGTTGAAGGATGGTTGGGTCGGGGTCAAATTTGAAAGGAAATAAAGACAAATATTTTGATAATATAGCTGAATTAAACTACAGATTGATATAATTCAAAAAGTGCATGGAGTATGTTTGGTTACATGTTGGTACTAGTGCGGACTAGCTTGTGCAGACACAATTGTCCAGATGTTACAGTAATTCAAATGTTTCTTGGAATCTGGGGAGATGTCTCAATTTGGAATGTCAGTATTTTTTCTACAGCATTTTCTGTCAGGACACACAGAAATAATCTCTCCATTTCCACTGCTGTCACTGCCTTTCGCTGAAATATATTGGGGTGCTCCCTGCTCATACAGTTGGCTCTTTTTAATGTATGAACCAGATCAGGGATCTTAAGCATTTATCTTAAAAGA